GCACAATTCAGACCATAACAATTGTCAAATGTGCCAAGACCATTTAATAGGGAAAAATCAGTGTTTCAACGAATGTGTTGGGAAAACTGATTATCCACATACAAAAGAATGAAATTGAACCCTTACTTTACAGCAAGCATGTCAAACTTGTAGCTCGTGGGCCACATGCCTCATTTATTTAAATGGCCCACTGGCCGCGATTTTGACATGCTTGCTTTACAGCCTATACAAAAAAGAAAAAAGAAAAAGCAATTCAAAAGGGATCAAAGACCTAAATGTTAGACCTGAAACTATGGAAATCTTAGAAAAAAAATAGGGAAAAAACTCCATGACATTGTATTTGGCAATGATTTCTTGGATAGGATACCAAAAGCACAGGAAACAAAAGTAAAAATAGGTTTGCTGCATGTCATCAAAATTTAAAACTTTTGTGCATCAAGGGACATTACCAATACAGTGAAAAGAAAACTCACAGAATGGGAAAATATACTTGCAAATCTTGTATCCAATAAGGGATTAATACGCAGATTATATATATAAGACTTACAATTGAACAACAAAAACAAAGAACTGATTAAAAAAATGGGAAAAGGATTAGAGTAGACAATTTCTCCAAAGAAGATATACAAATGGCCAATAAACACACGAAAAGATGTTCAATATCAATCATTCGTAAAATGAAATCAAAACCATAGTAAGACACCACTTCACACCCAGTAGGATGACTATTATATTTTTAAAAATCCAGAAAATAACAAGTGTTGGTGAGGATGTGGAGAAATTAGAACCCTTGTGTATAGTGGGAATGGAAAATGGGGCAGCTGCTGTGGAAAATGGTAATGATTCCTCAAAAATTAAGCACACGATTACCATATGATTCAGCAATTTCACTTCTGGGCATATACTCAAAATAAGTGAAAACTGGAACTGGAACAGATACTTGAAGGTTTGTATTCATAGCAGCGTTATTCACAATAGCCAAAAGGTGGAAGCAAACAAGTTTCCATCAAGGGATGAATAGATAAGCAAAATGTGGTATATGCATACAATGGAGTATTATTTAACTTTAAAAAGGAAAGACAGCCCTAGCCGGTTTGGCTCAGTGGATAGAGTATCGGCCTGTGGATTGAAGGGCCCCAAATTCGATTCCAGTCAAGGGCACATGCCCGGGTTCTGTGATCGATCCCCAGTGGGGGGCCTGCAGGAGGCAGCTGATCAATGATTCGTTCTCATCATTGATGTTTCTATCTCTCTCTCTCTCTCTCCCTCTCTGTTCCTCTCTGAAATCAATAAAATTTTTTTTTTTTAAAAGGAAAGGCATTCTGATACATGCTATAACATGGATGAATCTTGAAGACATTATGCTAATTGAAATAAGCTGGTCACAAAAGACCAGGTATTGTATGTTTTCATTTATAGGAAATATCCACAAGAGGCAAATCAATAGAGACAGAAAGTAGATTAACAGTTGCCAGGGCCTGGGTCAAAGGATGAGTGGGAAGTGACTGCTTAATGCAGCGGTTCTCAACCTGTGAGTGGCGACCCCTTTGGCTGTCGAACGACCCTTTCACAGGGGTCACCTAAGACCATGCTGCATGTCAGATATTTACATTATGATTCATAACAGTAGAATCATTACAGTTATGAAGTAGCAAGGAAAATAATTTTATGGTTGGGTCACAACATGAGGAACTGTATTTAAAGGGCCAGAAGGTAGAGAACCACTGGCTTAATGGGTATGGAGTTTCCCCTCAGAGTGATGAAAATTTTGTATATATATATATACACACACATATATATACATATGTATATATGTATACAAATGTATATATTCATTGGTTAGGGAGAAGGAGAGAGAGATTGAAACATCAATGATGAGAGAGAATCATTGATCGACTGCCTCCTGCATTCCCCACACTGGGGATCAAGCCTGCATCCAAGCTATGTGCCCTTTACCAGAATTGAACCCAGGATTTTTCAGTCCACAGGCCAACGCTCTATCCACTGAGCCAAACCAGCTAGGGTATGAAAATTTTCTTGAAGTAGATACTGGTGATAGTTGCACAACATTGCAAATGTACTAAATACCACAAAATTGTATACTCACAATTAGTTAAAATGGTAGATTTTATCTTACGTGTATTTTATCACAATAATAAAACCATATTATTAACCTGAACAGAAATTCTTCAAATTATATATGTATATTTTTCTAGTGCATGTACATGCTAAAAAACACACAAAAGCATTAACATGTAAAAGCTAATTAGTAGGCTGTCTGAACTTATCTCATAAACCCCCATTGGTACTCTTTGAGAAACATTGGTTTAAAGATTAAATAAGGTGTCATGGAATAGAAACTCTGATTCATGTCTCAGCTCTATCACTTATTACTTGTGTGATCTCAACATTTTAAAATCTAAGATTCATTATTGCACAATCAGTATGAGTACCTGCCTCACCGTTTCTTTTGAGGGTGAAACGCAATAATTTACACAATAATTTTAGAAGCCAGCTGGCATTTAATGAACATTTAGGAAGTGATGGCTACCTTTATAGTATAATAATAATTACCAGTGACAGCCCTCTCTTTCTGTGGACCAAAGGAGGCGTGGAGGATTGATTGGGGCCAGTAATTGTGCATTTTCTGGAACTTTTGCCCCTTCAAAAGTTTACCCACTGGAGTACTGAGGGGAATTTCACGGGTCAATATTGATTTATGTCTTCTTTTAATTTGCTGCTCTCCGAGAGTATTTGAATCTAGATTCCATTTGGACAATATAGAAATTCCCACATTAGGCCCTTTATTGAAAGAAGACAATACAGTGAACAGCAGCCAAGCCCTGGGGACAGGAGGCTAGCCAGGGTCTGCAGAGCACCTGGCTTCCCCAGGAGGGAGGTCATCTGCTGATGTGAAATCCAGTTGGATTGAAGGAGTTCAGCAGTGCTGACAGTGAGACCAGAAGCCTGCCGAGCAAGGCCTTGTCTTCTAGGCAGTGAGCTGCTCCCACCACATCCCCACAATATTTCCCTCAAGGCATCTGAGAGACCTCAGGACCGCAGCCCACACAGCTGTGTGGGTCCTGCATTTCTTCCACAGCCAGGACCCCACTAAAAGCAATGTCTCTATCCAGACAAACTGTCCATTCCCTCCCTATGTCAGACAGAAGTGAGTTTGGTGGAAAATAGTTTCCGAGATTGGAATCATCTTCTCCCTGTGAAATTCTTTTCCTGTTTCCCTCCTTTTCTTTGGACTTTTTAACATGAGGTAAGTTTCCTCAGGGCGATGCTAACAAAAATGAAAATGCCTGAACAAATACAACAGTTTATCTATGTGTGTGACTGTACACACACACACACACACACACACACACACACACACTCAGTCCACAAGCAGATGCTCAAACAGAAGAGTGAGGAGACTTGACATCACTGAAACTAAGTCTGTCGAGATAATAATGATTAACATTTTCCCCAAAAACTTTAGGCAAACAGGCAGAGAAGCAGAGAAATCCATACCTCATGGTTGCTAAGAATTCAGGCAGCAGTTTGCAGCGTTTTGGTTAGCTGGATGGGCTCCACTGAGATCTGTCCAGCCTGTCTTGTAGATTTTCAAGATCAGGGCGGGGCTATATAAGGGAGGTAAACAACTGACTAATAAGGTAAACTGTGGGCATGTTGTTAAAGAATGACTTGAAAAAACTGAAACTGGAAAGTGAAACTGATGCCTTCAGAGTTCCTGCCAGGGAAAATGAAACTAAGGCTGTAAGTGCTTCCTTTGCTTTGTTTTGAGAAGGGATTGAGGTGACCATGGTGAAGAACAGTTCCAGTGATGTGCCAATTCCTCTCCGAGCCTTTACCCTGCCTTATAGAAAGCTGGAAGTCGGGAGATGCCAATTATATCAAGTCCACTGAATCTGGAGCCAAGGATACCTATGACAATTGGCTGTGTGAGCTTGTCAAGGACATGCCCCAGACCTGTGCCTGTTTGCTCATCTGGAAACAGAAATGGCTCTGTTTTCACAGCACAGCCGGTAGGAGATAACAAAGGAAGTTCAGGTAGGAGAGGTAAAGTTGAATAAAGATAAAGAGAAGTTGGGGATGTCAAGACAATACCAAGTCAATGCTAGCTTTAAGGCTTTTACGGACAGGATAATGGTCTTGCTGGGGGCCAATGTTGCAGGTTATATATTGAAACCCTTTGTGATTTGACACATTGAGAACTCCAGGGCCTTCAGGATATCAATCAGCACACCTGCCAGTCTTCTATGGGAGCAATAAGAAGTCATGGATGACCCAGCTCCTCTTCTAAGATGCCCTCCCGAATTGCTCTGCCGGCTAAGTAGAGAAGTACTGTTTGGAGAATAACGGGCCTTTTGAGATTTTGCTTGTTGTTGATAATGCTCTTAGACATCCCCCTTCGCTGGTGACCTTCATCCAATATCAAAGTGGTATTTCTCCCTTCAAATACCATTTCTTTGAGCCAACCAATGAATTAAGGAGTTATAGCAGTTTTTAAGGCCTACTACTTCAGGAGGAGCTTTGCCCAGCTATTGCTGCCACCGAGGAAGACACTGATACAATTCTGGAAGAATTAAACATCTATGCCCACTTCAAGAGTTTTGCTTGGGCTTGGGATGAGGTCACCCAGGAGTATGATTGCCATCTGAAGATGACACTCAAAA